TATTGTAACCGGACTGTCCATGTCAGAGAGCTTTATAATGAAACAAGTTGCAAGTTAGCCCGTGTTTATCATGCCAAGTTCAAATACTCTTGTATTTTATGATCTTTGATTCATTGGTTATTCTGGCTGTTATTTTTTGTTTACAGGTGATCTGATCGAAATAATTATAGCTGTTTTCCGTTCAAAGTTTCATAACTCTATGCAAAAAAAAAACTACTCACTAGGGTAGGGACGGACAGTATTTCTTAAACCACAGCCTTACGTACGCTAGAAAAATATTTCAGCCAAAGATAATTCAAAGTATAAGCTTTGCAAGAACTCATTAATGAAAGAGATTAGCCAAGAAAAACAGAAAAAATGTATAGAATACGAGCCTGGGTGGCCGCGATTAAGATCTCTTAGTTAAATAGAGTGTCATGTGGTAGTGTGACGCAAAACATTTTGGTATCTGGCTTCAATAGTTGTAAACATTAAAACAATATGGATGCTTAGTGTTCTTTTAAAAGTACAGTAGGAAGTAGTTGCGGGTTTGATTCAAAGATCGAAAACAGAGGACGAAGATTGTGCCATTGCATTCTTGCAGTAAGGATATCTCAAAACACTTGAGTTTTTCTGGTCCATCACCCGCACATATTGGCAGTCGTTTTTGAAGGGAAAAAATTGTAATTGTACTTATAGAAAACGATGCAATCCTTTGTTTCTATCCCTTTAGAAGCAAACTATGGATCTAAGCAAAAACTTGACGATAATGTATACGATAAGTTGTATCCAACAGGATCAAAACCAGGACTCTTCTACGGTACAGCAAAAGTTCATAAGCTAAACGACGGGCATGGTATAGAAGAGCTAACCCTTAGACTAATCATTTCCAATATCGGTACAGCAACCTACAACTTGGCTAAATATCTAGCGCAACTGTTAGCGCCCCTAGCGAAATCGCAGTATACGGTATCGAGTACCAAAGATCTTCTCCAACGCATCCGCGCGGAGAAACTCCCAACAGGATATGAAATGATTAGCTTTGACGTACAGGCATTATTTACCAACGTTCCACTGGATAAGACTATTAACATAATCACCAAAAGGATATACACACAAAAAGAGATCATAACTGACCTAACACAGAAAGAACTGGTAGATCTAATCAATCTTAGCACAAAGAACGTTCATTTCTCGTTCAATGGCCAAATATACACACAAATTGACGGAGTAGCTATGGGTTCCCCYCTAGGACCACTTCTTGCAAACATTTATATGGTCGAATTAGAAACATCTGTTATTCCAACGTTAAATGACTACCTCAAGACCTGGATTAGATAMGTASATGATACTCTCGCGTTTGTCAAGATTGGACATCATGAACATGTACTTAAACAACTTAACAGTTTTGATCGTAAGAAAATCCGTTTCACCTACGAGTCAAGCCGGGAGAACTCTATTAATTTCCTAGACACAACCATTACGTGGAATAATGGCCGCTTTGAGACCACAGTGTATCGCAAGAAAATAAACACCTATCTATACATCCACTGGCAAGCCGATGCACCGAAGACCTGGAAGAGAAGCACACTTAGAGGTTTAGTAAAGAGAGCCTATAATATCTGCTCTAATGAAGATCTATTGAAACAAGAACTACATCACTTGCGAAAAACATTCCATGAAATAAATGGTTATCCTAATTGGGTTATTGACAACATCATCAATGAAGTTAAAAACAAACAAGGTCAAGCTATCGCACAAAAGACAGGATAATGACTTTTAGGTTAAAACCTCTGTGTTTATGACATTGCCGTACAGAGACGACAAAGGTGTTAGATTARTTCAGAAATTAAAGCGTGCCTCTAATAASTTTCTGCCACAAAATGTAAAACCTAGTGTCTCTTTTAAGGCTGATAAACTAGCATCGCGTTTCAATGTAAAAGACACAATTAACATCAAACACCAAAACAGTGTAGTGTACAAGCTTGAGTGCCCACAAGAACGATGCCCACATACCTACATTGGTGAAACAACCAGAAGATTAGAAAAAAAAGTCCGCAATACTTAGACATAGTTTTTAATCTGGCCATGAAACTGTTAAGCTAGAAAACGCTACTATTTTAGCGTCAAAATTTAGAACATATAAACATAGGAGAATCGCCGAAGCGCTTTATATAAAGGAACAAAACCATCTTTGAACGAACAGGGACAGTCAATTCCCTTAAGTCTTTTGAACTAATAATTATTCATGTAAGTTCAGTTTGCAGTCGATGTCCTTTGGATAAAGGCCGAAATATACATGTAGTAAAAAATGATAAATCTTCTCGTAATCCTTTTCGTATTCAAACTATATGCCCAAAAGAATATATCTAATAGTTTTTAAAAGTAAATGAACCCATGTGGTTCCGGCAGCTGAGAATGAACAMAAAWATGTAGTGTTTACCTATTTGGCAAATCATACTATGTACAATGATTTAGCAAATAAATCCTTGCATYTTTYAAAATATGGTAGCAATTCTCTTAGATTTCTTTATATTAATTTAAACCCAGGAACTCTACAGTTGTACTAAATATAATTATTATGGTTTCTGGACATTCTAACTGCACCTGCTCTGCATTTTACCTTTTGTTTCACATTTTTTAAGAGAAAATGATTCACTGTCCTGAATTTGTTTAATTTGCAATTTATTTACCTAAAGGAAATATTAGGAACACTTTGAGCAGCAGTTTATCTTGGTTTCTTAATTCCCATTTTCAAACAGTGCAGGCAGCTATAGTGTACAGGTGCAGTTCTTTCATAATTGTCAGGTGTTTGCTAGTAGGAAATTATAAAAATTCTGATTCTTTTTCCATAAAAACCCTTAGAGAGGTTTATTGCCTTCTCCTGGTGCAAAACTAATAATATTGTCACCATTTTCTTTTTAAAATTTAATTAAAAAAAAAAACGTTTAAATATGATGTGGTTGACCTCGAGTTCCAAACAATAAACGTTTACATGTATATTTCTGTTTTTTATGATCAAGCTCAAAAACATTCATTCTAACATTAGCTCACTGTCCACTGTCAAATCACTTGACAATTATTTCCTACAAATCAAAGTATTCAGAATTACATGTACAAATGTCAACTACATGCATAATAACATAGTAGGGACAACTGAATGTCCCTACAGCTGTCTTCTTTTTACCTCTGCAATGGACGGTCTCATTATCGTCTCAGTCACACTGAAATGTGGGATGATTTTTGGGCCAAATTGACCGAGTAGCTCTGGTTCTGAGTCTCTACTTCGTACTGCTGAACATGTGCACTTGTCGAATTTCAATGTTTGATAATAGTTGATAGGYTTCTTGGCATTATACCTGTACTTGCAAATATAAAAACAACTTTTCGGGGTTGAAGCTAAGGTTAGTTAACTTCAGCATTGAATAGAACTGAAAAGCAATTGTTTGAAAGTTCGTTGTGGAAAATCAGTAACAATGGTCGGATTRCCAATATCATTTTGTACTGTTGTTCTGCGAAAACCTTTTCAATGACACAATAAAGTACTTGATACTCTTAGAACAATCCGTATCCATTCTAGTTCATGTCACTTTCCAATTCATGCATGAATTGTTTGTTGCAATGTTTTTATTACTTCTGAAAAAAACTACAAGAATTCAGATTCACTCAAGTTCAACTTCAATTTTTTCCTCGAAAATCAGGGTATTACAAAGTAATAGCATGGCTTCCTCGGGAGATTAGGGATTAAATGTCCCTCAGCCTCGGGCAACTTATCTGCCCTTGGCTTCGGGGACATTTAATCCCAAATCTCCCTCAGWCATGCTATTACTTATAATAATCATATCATCAGTCAATGAGAGCTTGCATTCTAAAAAATATTTTAACAATAACCTCTACAAAATTTGAATGTCTGATCAAAGCATCACTGACTCTTATGTATAATAATTACTTCACTGCATTTTTTTTACATATATATTATAAATATGCAATCGTATGAGGAAGGAGCTGATCCCATTAAAGAGTGCTCAATACACATATATTGTAGACGAGCTAGTTATATTTTTCATTTTAAAGACGCCGAGTTTCGTGCTACGCACTCATCAGACAGTACTTTTAAGTACGAAACTCGGAGTAACAGCAAAATCTTGCGTCTTTTGATATATAATTACATATATATAAATTGAATAAATTGAAGAAAAAGGCACGCAACTTGCAACTATTATTCCTACTCTTTATTTGAACGTTTCGGCACTTCGGCCTTCTTCAGCAAACTGAGTGTTTTGCACGCGCCATTGCTACAAAAACCAACGCGACTAACGGAAAACAACAATATGCGCGCGCTCTACAGCGCGCGTAGCCAAAAAACACGCGCACTAAAATGCACGTGGGCTAGGACTAAATACTAAACTACAAAACCTAAGAAAGCAGTAGCTAATACAAAGCACTCAGCTAGCCAAACCAGAAATTACATCAAACAAACCCAAGCCAGATAAACAACACCAATGTAGGAATTACTAAATCTAATACGAATAAATAATTAATACAAATAAAGGAAGGACATGAAAGCTACTGCCCCTGCAAGCAACCTTCAAAACTCCATCCACCTAACAATTATATTATATCAGCTGAAAGTACCACACAAACAAAATAAATAAA